TATATATATATATATATAAGCATGCATATATCTACTAATGCATGTCTCTCTACCTGTATGCCTCTGTCTGCTTTTTGTATTTGTGCTGTTTCTTTACTCTGCCTCTGTTTTATTTTTCTGTCACCGTTTGTTTCTTTTGTGTATTCACTTTAAGTTAGAGTCATCTCCTTAATTGCATCTCTATCGTTCTCTCCTTACTGTCTCCTTACTGTCTCTTTATTGTCTCTTTATTGTCTCTTTATTGCTTGTGTGTCTGTCTCTTTGTTGTCTCGCTATTGCCAATCTGCTTTCTCTCTTTTGTCTCTTTATTGTCTCTTGGTTGTCTCTTTACTGTCTCCTCATTGCCTCCTTTTCGTCTCTTCGTTGTCTCCTTTCTGCTTTTATATTGTCTCTTTACTATCTGCTTATTGTCTCTTTACTGTCTCTTTATTGTCTCTTTATTGTCTCTTTATTGTCTCTTTATGGTGGGTTTATTGTCTCTTTACTGTCTCCTTACTGTCTCCTTACTGTCGCTTTATTATCTCTTTATTACCTCTGTTTTGTTTGTTTTTCTGTTTATTGTCTCTTTGTCGTCTCTTCATTGCCTCCTTACTGTCTCTTTCTCTTATATTTACTGTCTCTTTATTGTCTCTCTTCTCTCTGGATTGTCTCTTCATTATCTCTTTACTATCTCTTTACTGTCTCTTTATTGTCTCCTCCTATTTTATTGTCTCTTTATCGTCTCTTTATTATTTTATCTCTTTATTATAACTTTATTATCTCCTTTTTGTGTTTATTATCTCTTTATTACATTTTCATAGTCTCGTTCTTATTGTTTTCTGTTTATTATTTGTTTATTATTGTCTCTTTACTGTCTCCTGCTTATTATATTTGTTTGATTATTATATCTTTACTGTCTCCTTACTGTCTCCTCCTTGTTATTTTTCTATTTATTATTTGTTTATTATTTCTTTACTGTCTCCTTTTGTCTTATTTCTGTCTCTTTTGCTCTTCGCTCTCTGCAGCCCCACAACAACACAACAACCCCACCGCTTGTTGTATGAATAAATATAAAAGGGCTGTCTCTTATCTTAGAGTGCTGCAGCAGCAAAGAAGAAGAAAGTATTAATTATTTGCTTTTATTTATTTATTTTTGTCTATAAACTTAACTTGTGCTGCTCCTGCTGTCTCCTCCTACTGCGGAGACACCCTATAAACACAACAACCCCACCATTCCTCTGGGGGCCCTGTGAGCGACAGCCAAATACTTGCTGCTGCTGCTGCTGCTGCTGCTGTTCTTTTTGCTGCTTGTCTCCTTTTTGTTTTAAACGCACCGGCAACAGCTTCTTTAAGGGGGACTCCTTTAGCCTCGCCTCAGATACCAGCTACACACCCATTTGCTGCTGCTGCTGCTGCTGCTGCTGCTGCTGGAGCGTCTCCAGGATCGGTAAGCGCAGCATTAACAGCTACAGCAGCAGCATCAGCAGCAGCAGCAGCTGCTGCTGCTGCTGCACCGATCGCCCTAAGATGTCTGGCCTTATGTAGGGGCAGGAAGCCTCGTATCAGCCTCATGGCAGCAGCAGCTCGCAGCAGCAGCAGCAGCAGCAGCAGCGGTGGCGGCGATGCATGCGGGAACAACGAAGGCCTGCAGCGGCGCCATAAGCATGCAGCAACAGCAGCAGCAGCAACCCTGGAAGCAGCAGCAGCAGCAGCAGCTCGACAATGATGGAGGGCCCTTCTGTGGGTCTGCCCCTGCTGCAGGCTTCAGGATGCCGCAGAATGAAAAAATGCAGCAGCAGCAGCAGCAGCAGCAGCCCCACACGTAACAGGACCAGCATTCGCAAGCCCCGCAACAAGAGGGCGAACAGCAGCAGCAGCAGCTCCAGGAGCAGCAGCAGCAGCAGCAGCAGTGATAGTAGCCCGGAAAGCGGCAGCAGGAGCAGCACGAGGCGAAGCTGCGTGCGCGGGGGGAGACGGATGCCCGCAGCAGCAGCTGCTGCCTCTACTGTTGCTACTGCTGCTGCTGCAGGTGCCGCAAGGAGACCCCGTTGTATATTAAGTTCTTTTAGCAGCGCAGACACTGCTTCTGCTGCTGCTGCTGTAGACAACTTTGAGTTCTTCTTTTTTCAGCCCTTAGCCGCAGCAGCAAAGGCAGTTGTTGCTGCTGCTGCTGCTGTTGCTCCTGCGGCTGCAACGCATCTTGCAGCAGCAGCAGCAGCACCATTCCTCTCCGACTGCATGCACCAACGAGCAGCAGCAGCAGAAACAGCAGTAGCAGCAGAACTTCGAGAGGCCGTTGCTGCGCTGCCCTTGGCCGAGGCCCTGGAAGTGTGCTCTGCAAATGCAGCAGCAGCAACAGCAGAAACAGCAGCAACAGCAGCAGCAGCAGAAGGTGCAGCAGAAGCAGTATATGATGATAATTGCCGCCCTCTAGAGCGCCTAGCAGACGTGTTGCTGCTGCTTGCTGCAGCGGACAGCAACACGCAGCGCGAGGGCTGGAACCATGTGCGGGAGGCAGTAGCAGCAGCAGCAGAAGCAGCAGCAACTGCTGCTGCTCTGGAGGGATATGACGCTGCTGCACCCCCTGGGGCTTGGCGAGTTGTCTCTGCTGCTCTTTGTCTCTGCATGCAGCGCTCAGGCCGCCAGGCGTTATGTGCAGCAATCGCCTACCTGCGTTTCTTAGGGGTAAGCAGCAGCAGCAGCAGCAACAGCAGCAGCAGCAGCAGCACCAGCAACGGCAGCAGCAACCGTCTTTGCAGGGCATCTTGTGCGTATCATACCTGATACTGCGGCTAGCTGCTTCTTGTTGAATCTAGCTGCTTCTTGCTGCAGCTAGCTGTGTCCTCTTAGCTAGCTGCTATTGCTCATTAGTTAGCTCTGCTTCTGGTTTTCTCGCTAGCTAACAGCAGCAGCTGCTAGCTAGCTGCTGGAGTGGCTAGCCAGCTGTGCTGCTGTGTCTGGCTAGCTTTGTTGCTGTTGCTAGCTAGCTACTGCTGCTGCTGGCTAGCTGCTGCTGTGGCTAGCTGTGCGTTGTGTGTGCGCCCAGCTGCAGGTGAATGATATGCAGGAGCTGCAGCAGCCGCAGCTCGATGGAAAAACGCTGCAGCTGGTGCTGCAGCAGCTGCAGCAGAAGCAGCAGCAGCAGCTGCAGGAGGCCAGGGCCGCTCCTTGGCAGCTGCAGCGACAGCTGCAAGAGCAGCAGCAGCAGCAGCAGCAGCAACAACACCAGGAGCAGCACACGCACATGCAGCAGCAACGCTCGAGGCTAGCTAACTGGCTGCAGCAGCAAGAGGTCCCCTCGCTGACTGCCATTCTGTCGCTGCAGCTGGGGCTGCTGCTGCAGCAGCTGCAGCAGCAAAGCTTATCATGCTGCAGCAACAGAGAGGCACTGCGGTTGCTGCTCCGAGGGGGGATGGACCTGCTAAGCAAGACTCAGGCTTTCCCTAGGTAAACCCTAAACCCTAAACCCTAAACCCTAAATCGCTGATAAGCAGGGCTCATGGAGTGCGTGTGCTGCACTGTGTGGCTGCGTACAGGCAGGTGCTGCTGCTGCTGCCGTTGGTGTTGCTGCTCCGCGTAAAGGAATTACGCACGATGCATCTGCAGCAGCAGCAGCAACAGCAGCAACGGCAACAGCAGAAGGAGCAGCGGCAGCTACGAGATGCAGACGAGCTCAGCGATATACGATCGGTAGAGGAGGAGCAGCAGGATCAGCAGCAACAGCAGCAGCAACAGCAGCAGCAGCAGCAGCAGATATTTTACTTGCTTCCCCTGTACGAAGGAGGACCGCATGTGGATTGCCTTGCTGCAGCAGCAAGCGATCTGTTGCTGGCAGTGCTGCCCCGGCTGCTGCAGGAGCATCAGCAGCAGCAGCTTGACGTTGGCGCAGCAGCAGACGAAACAGCAGCAGGCGGCGCTGCAGCAGCTGGGGGTGGCAGTGAACAGAGACAGCAGCAGCAGCAGCAGCAACAGCAGATTGTCGCCTGCATTTTGCAGGCTGTCAGCTGCTGTGGGGAGCTGCTGCTGCCGGAGTTGCTGCTGCACCCTGTGCTGCTGCTGCAGGCCCGCTCGAAGGACCTCCAGCAGATGAGAAAAGCAGCAGCATCAGCTGCTGCTGCTGTTGTTGACGAAGAAGCAGGAGAAGGCATTAACGCTGCAGAGAATGCCGCAGCAGCAGCAGCTGTTGCTGCGGCTGAGCCTACTGCAGCAGAAGCAGCATGCCTCTCGGAACTGCAGCAGCAGCGGCAGCTCTCTGCTGATCCGCTTATTGCCTTCCTTGCAAGCTTCTGTTTTGCGTGTCTCCCCAGCAGCACAGCAGCAGCAGCAGCAGCAGCAGCAACCTGCGTGGTCATCTTAAGATGCTGCACTGTGCAGGAAGAGCTGCAGCTGCAGCTGCAGCAACGGGAAGACAGCAGAGGGCTGCTGCACCATCTTGAACAGCAGCAGCAGCAAGAGCAACAGCAGCAGCAGGAGCAACAGCAGCAGCAGCAAGAGCAACAGCAGCAGCAGCAACTACAACCGGAGCACCAGCAACAGCAACAGCAGCAGCAGCAACAGCAGCAGGAGCAACAGCAGCAGCAGCAGCAGCAGCAACAGCAGCAGCAGCAGCAGCAGCAGCGGCGACAGGGGGTGCTTGAACGCTTCTTGCGCCTTGTGCTTATTCCTCTGCTGCATGGATCTCGTCTGGCGCATCGGCTGCTGGGTGTGGAGCTGCTGCAGCAGCTGCTGCACTCGCCTGCTGGAAGCAGCAGCAGCAACAACAACAGCAGCAGCAGCACCAGCAGCAGCAGCAGGCGGAACGTACGGGACGGCAGCAAGATAGCTGAGACGAAAGGCGCGCTGCTGCTGGGGCATCTCCTCGAGGGGAGAGAAGAGCTGCTGCTGCTGCAGCAGCTGCTGTTGCCTTTTGCTGCAGCACTCGGAGACCGGCAGCCGCTCATCAGGGCCAAGGCTATTGAGGCGCTTCCATCTGTATGCGACGTGCTGCTGCTTGCTGCAGCAGACTCCTCAGCAGCAGGAGCAGCAGCAGCAGCAGCAGAAGGTTCTGAAGAAAAGAGACAAAGGATGCAGCAGCAGCAGCAGCAGTACCAGCTGCTGCTGCTGCTGCTGCGACCCTCTGTCTTCGAGGCACTTAGGGGGAGCTGCTTAGAGCACAGCAAGACAGTGGTGAGGCGAGCTGCGTTACTGGCGCTGCAGCATCTGCTGCCGCTGCTGCTGCAGCATCTCCCGCTGCTGCAGCAGCTGCATGCCTGCGATATGCCCCTTATGGAGGGGGAGTCTCCTGAACTAGGGACTGAAGACGCACCAGCAGCAGCAGCAGCAGCAGCAGCAGCAGCAGCAAGGCCCATTGGGGCTGCTGCAGGCGCTTCGGGTTGGGGTTTATTTCAACTGTTGGGTTGGAGACAAATTGCAGAGAGGTGCAGAGACAGTTCAGTGATCGTAAGGAGACAGGCTGTGGCAGCGCTGCACGTCTTCACTACCACGGCTCTACATAAACTGCTGCAGCAGCAGCAGCAACAGCAGCAACAGCAGGAGGGGGGGGTGCAGCAGCAGCTGCAACAGCAGGGAGAACAGCACACAGAACAGCCATCGGACCAGCAAGACAGACAGCACGACGAGCAGCAACAACAGATTGTGCAGGCACAGCAAACTGTTGCAGGTGCTCCTGCTGCTGCTGCTGCTGCTTCTCTAACAAGCAGCATTTGCTGCGCGTGGAGAGATTTCGTGTTGCATGCGGCAGCAGCAGCGGATGAGGAGCCAATGGTAAGGGAGAAGGCCCTCGAAGTAGCGCAGCAGGTGCTGCAGGGGGAAAGCAGCAGAAGCAGCAGCAGCAACAGCAGCGCAGCAGCAGGAGCTGCAGCAACAGAGGCTGCAGCAGATCTGCTGATTGCCGGCTCTACCGATGAACACCTGGAAACCCTGAGGCATTTTTATTACTCCTGCTGCAGCAAGAGGTGCGTTTAAGCCCTAAGGGTTTAGGGTTTAGGGTTTAGGTATTAGCGTTTAGGGATTAGGGTTTAGGGTTTAGGGTTTAGGGTTTAGTGTGGGGTGTACAGGGGAGGAATGCCAGAAGAGCGGCTCGTCCAGTGTATGCGCAGCGTAGCAGCCCCAGGTGTTGCAGTCAGGAGACTCCTTGAGCTTCAGGTATCTCTCCACTACAGCTGCTGCTGCTGCTGCTGCTGCTGTGGCTGCTGCTGCTTCGCGTGCTAGTGCTGCTCCGCTGCTGCTGCTCTGCTGCGGTTGCTAGAGCTGCCCCTGCTGCTAGTGCTGCTGCCGTCGTTGCTATCTAGGCCTTTCCGTTGTTAAGCTGCTTCTCCTGCGCCTTGTGCTGCTGCTGCTGCATCTTGTGCTGCTGCTGCTGCATCTTGTGCTACTGCTGCGCCTTCTGCTGCTGCTCCTGATGCTGCTGCTGCTGAAGTGAATAGTTTTGTTGTTTTGTTTGTCTGCCACCTTAGGGATATTTTGACTGGGCCAATTCGCCTGCTGGAAGCCTCAGCAACTCCACAAATAGCAGCAACAGCAGCAGCAACAGCAGCGGCAACAGCAACAACAGCAGCAGCAACAGCAGCAGCAGCAGACGGAAAACGGAGGCTGCCGAAGCAGCCTTTGCCGCCTGGCGCCGTGTCGCTGCGGCCGTGCTGCAGCAGCAGCAGGAGGCGCAGCAGGGACCTCAGAATTCTCAAGCGCAGCATCAGCAGCATCAACAGGAGGAGGAGCAGCAAGAGCTGCAGCAGCAGCAGCAGCAGCAGCAGGAGGAGGAGGACGAGCTGTTTGGGGCCAAGTCCTTGCTGCTGCTAGACCTTGTTGCTTCTGCTGCGGCGTTCGCCTCTTTCTCTACTCGCAGTGCTGCTGCTGCAGAGCTGCTGCTGCTGCTGTCGCAGCAGCTGCTGCCTGTAGACTTTGTTGCCCCTGCTGTTCGTAGCCTTTTTGCCGTCTCTAAAGGCCTTATCTACCTGCCGGACACGGCTGCCTTCGTCTCCCCACAGCAGCAGCAGCAGCAGCAGCAAGAGCAGCTGCAGCAGCAGCAGCAGCAGCAGGGCCTGGGAAGCAGCTGGACCCAGGTGCTGCTGCAGCGGACGAGGGAAGGCCTCCAGCGAACGCTCAAAGATATGATATGCCGTGCGACGGTGTCTCTGCAGCTCCAGGCTGCAGCACCAACACAGCCAGCAACAGCAGCAGCACTGCCAGCAGCAGCAGCACTGACAGAAGCAGCAGCACTGCCAGCAGCAGCACTGCCAGCAGCAGCATATGAACTAGCAAGGCCACAAGAGGACTCTGCAGCAGCAGCAGTAACAGTAACAGCAGCAGCAGCACAAGAGTCAACAGCAAATAAACAGCAGCGGCTGGTGCTTCTTCCTGACGATGAAGGGCTTTGTAGGTAAGCTGCTTGGCGACAGCAGCAGCTGCTGCTGGAGTTGCTGCTATTGCTATGCAGCAGCTGCTACTGCCGCAGCTCTTGCAGCTTTCTCATATGCTGCAGGCAAAGAAGCACAATCTTCCTTGCTGCTGCTGCTGCTACGTTTGCTGCTGGGCGGTGTTCGTGCTGCTGCTGTTGTTTCCGCTTCTGCTGCTGCTGTAGCTTTGCTGCTACAGCTGTGCTGCTGCTGCTGCTGCTTCGTTTGCTGCAGGTATTTGGCGCTCGCTGGGGAGTTGGCGTTGATGGGTTTGCTGCGGCTGGAAGAAGATGTAGCAAAAGTCGTGCAGGTGGGCCTTCCTACAGCGAAACCTGCTGCTGCTGCTGCTGCTGCTGCTGCTGCTGCTGGCTTTTTCCGTTTACATTTGTGCCCGTACCGTTGCTGCTGCTGCTGTCTTTGTTGTTGTTGCTGCTGCTGCTTCTGCTGCAGGCCCTTGTCCTTAACAAGCTTCCCTCAGCCATTCAGAGAGTCGCTGTTTCTGCTTTGTCACAACAGCAGCAGCAGCTGCAGCAGCAGCAGCAGCAAGAAGGCATCGAGGATCCAGGGCTTCTTTCCATTGCAGCTTGCAGCACAGCAACAGCTGCTTCTTCTTGGTGTGAGGCCTCTTCGTCTCCTAGGAACGAACTGCTGAACAACAGCAACAACAGCTGCAGCAGCAGCAACAACAGCCCACGTAGCAGCAGCAGCAACAACAACAACAATAACAAGGAGTCTCCTCAGGCTGCTGCTCTTGTTGCTTCCGCGCTGTCTCCTTTCCGTCCCCTGAGGACAGAAAGGAGACAAACTGAACCCCACAGCAAAAGGCGCAGGCTGTCTCCGACTCTGCAGCAGCAGCAGCAGCAGCAACAGCAGCAGCAGCAGCAGCTGTTCGAGCCTCTGCCCTTGCGCGTAAGGACCTTGGCTATTCATGTGCTAGGGAAGCTCGCAGTTGCTGCAGGATCTGCTGGCAGCAGCACAGGCCAGCTTGGCTCTCACCGCAAACGAAAAGACACTGCTGCTGCTGCTGCTGCAGCAGGAAAAGGCAGCAAGACGCCGCCCCACAAGCAGCAACAGCTGCTGCAGCTAGCCGTAGAACTCGTCGCTGCGCAGCTAGAGCAGCAAGAACCTCCGATGGTCCGCCTTAACGCCGTAGTGGTGAGCTGCTGCTGCTGCTGCTGCAGTAGCTGATGATGCTGCTGCTGATGCTGCTGCAGTAGCTGCTGCTGCTGCTTCCATATGCCCATAGTCGTTGTTGTGCTCTTGAGGTTGGGTGCTGCTGCTGTTGTCCCCTGTAGCCTTCGCTCTTGCCGTCGCTCAGCTGCTTTGCCTTCCTGCTTGCTGCTTGCTGCTGCTGCTACTCCTGCTGCTGCAGGTGCTGAGCGACGTGCTGCAGCGGCACGGGCAGCTGACTGACAAAGTGCTGCCGTTGATTGTCTCTGCAATTGTTTCAAAGGAGACAGAGACAGCTGCAAATCAGCAGCAACCTGCAGCGCACGCCTTGGCAGCAACAGCAGCAGCCAGAAGCAGCAGCAGCAGCAACTGCAGCAGCAGCAGCAGCAGCAGCAGCAGCAGGATGGCGCTGGCGCCGCTTAGGAAGATGGCATTGATTTGTTTGTCACGCCTTCTGGCTGAGGAATACGTACGCTGCAAAGGAGAAGCTGTTTTGGGGTGAGACGCGAGCAGCAGCAGCAGCAGCAGCAGCAGCATGGTTGTTAATAAGGAGAGACACAGAGGGAAGAGACACTTTAAATCATCAGCAAAGAGAGACAGAAAGAGAGACAAATGAGTACAGCTGAGGACCTCCACAGGGGGATCCATAGCATCTCAAGGCATCACCTCGAACTGCTTCTGAACTGGTGTTGCTGCTGCTGCTGTTGCTGCTGTTGCTGCTGCTGCTGCAGTCTCTTCTTTTGTCTGGGAGATGAAGACGCCTCAGTGCGCCGACTGGCAGAGTCGGTGTATCTGGGCCTTGTACTGCCCCGCCATGTGAGGGTTTAGGGTTTAGGGTTTAGGGTTTATCGGAGACAGTTGCTGCTGCTGCTGCTGCTGCTGCGCGTGCGTGGGCTTGTTGTTGCGTTTCTGCTGGAGCAGATCTGCTGCTGCTGGTCTGTCCAGCTGCTGCTGCTGCTGCAAGTGAGGCGCTGCGTGTGTCTGTCTCCTTGCTGCTGCAGGAGACAGCACTGCCCTGTCTCTTCATCGATGTTATGTGTGCTCTCAATGGGGCTTGCGTACACCCCGCATGCAAAGCAAAGCCCTCGGGTTTGCAGCTGCAATCTCCTTCTGATTATAAACGAAGACAGGCAAGACACCCCCCTAAACCCTAAACCCTAAACCCTTTTACCTGCTGCTCTCGTAGCAGTCTCCTCGAGCGAATAAGGGACCCAACACCAGCAGCAGCAGCAGCTGCTGCTGCTGCTGCAAGTGCAGGTGTTGCAGCAGCACAAGACGTATTAGGGCTTTGTTGCTGTTGCTCGCTGCTGCTGTTGCTCATAATCGGTCGAGCTGCTGCTGCTGCTGCTGCTGCTGCTGCTGCTGCTTTTTGTCCTCCATCAGGCTATTTATTCGTTTGTCATTAACTCCCTTTCTATGCTGAGGAGACTGCAGCTGCAAAGGTGCGCTGTTGCTGTTGCTGCTGCTGCTGGTGTTGCTGCTACTGCTTCTGCCGCTGCTCGGGTTGCTATTGCTACAGCAGATGCAGCTACTGCTGCTGCAGGTGGAGATGCTGCTGCAGCCATCAAGAGGGAGTTCAATGCGCTGCGGCTGCTGCTTCTGCTACTACTACTGCTGCTATTACTGCTGCTGCTGCTGCTGCTGCTGCTGCAGGTTATTGGTTAGTGGCGTGTTGGTGCCTTGGCTGGACGGCGACGCAGAGGGTCATGAGGGCTTCAGCAGCAGCGCGATTCTCAGCAGCAGCAGCAGCAGCAGCAGCAGCAAGCCGCTGCCTCTTCCTTCATCTCGCCAGGAGCCGTTGGGGTGTCTGCTAGAAGACACGCTGCTGCTG